ACGTTTACAGATCTCGTGCAGACAAAAGTTCAAAGAGAAAAAGTCTTTGAATAATAAGAGTGGCTTCGATAAGGTCGTGTAATAAAATACTTAAATGAGTTGAAGGTGTGGAAAAGTCTACAATTTCAAGTGTAACTGAAGTTTAGCGCATTAGTCTGAAACTTGAGAAAATGTGAACAGCGTGAAATTGCATATAATATTTTGAGTAAGATATTCATTTGATTGTATATCTTTTATAAATTATGTGATTTGATTACAAGAACGCTGACAAGCTTATAGTGAAAATAGTTAATTCAAATAGTAGGCAAATTAGATTGCCCCGTTAGAAGAACATTTCTACCGAAAATACGAGAAAAGTTGTTATCTTAGTCAGTTTTTGTGAAAATAAAATTGTATCGGCGAATATTAAAGTTTGAAATAGCCCTAAATAATTTCAAACGCCAATAAATTAAAGACAATCAGAGATATTTGCAGCCGCTTAAGTCCAATCGCGATTAGAACTTTGTGGTTACCCTTAAGACTGCGATAGTTCATCTGAGCATCTAATGGGTTTACAGGATTTTTATTTTCACATTAAGTTAAATTCATATATGGTATCTGAAGACTTGCATTATTATGATGAAATCAACAAGCAATGATGAAAAGAAAACAATCCAGGAACTCCATTTCATATGTATCTGTCAGGTAATACAGGTATAGATCCAAGTACCTAGTCACTTACTACTTATAAGATACATAGTAAAAAAAAACAATCGCGGCTGTACTCTCAGCTATTAGGGATATGATTAGGGGAAGCACTGGAATGCAAAGACATATCTTTTTGAACATAAAATGTATTGTAACATAATAAGCTTGAAATCCATGCTCCCTAATTACAAGTAATATACGGGCAGCACGTTTTTACACAACGTTCTCTAGTCCCGAACTAAGCAATAATTGTACTATGGGTACTAGAAAACTGATAAACATACTTGAAAATACTTTTTTTGTAAATAAATGCATATTAATGCTATGCTCTGGCGCAAGAGGCAAGTTTACTACTCCCAACACCAAACTTGTTGATTTGAATATGAACTTCTCTAGCTAATTCTATTCATTGTTGGCCTCGTTTTGCTAGCAACTTTCCCGGTTCGTATATATATATAGATAATTGACTCATCACAATATCTCTCGAACCATATGGCGTAGGGACTTGAAATTTGGAAGGAATATTCCTTTCGCCGAGTAGAGGTCATCTACGAACGGATTTTACGAAATTTCACAAAACAACGTTTGCCGGACAGCTACTCATATATTGTTAGGAAATAATGCGAATATACTGTACGCTTTACTTTTCGCAACGTCAATAGATAAACAATCATTAGAATTTGTACAAGTACATTATTGTTAACAAAGAATAAACCAACTTCAAACATCTCACTCACTACACATTTTCTATTTGATTTTAAGGAGTTCCCTGATTAAACCTCGAAGTCCAAGGTCCAATACCAATCAAATTGATATGAAACTATAAAGGAGCTAAACTAAATATAATGCAAAAATAATTATTAAAATCTGTTCATAAATAACGGAGTTGCAAGTTACAAACATAAAGAAATATGACTGAATCAGGATCTCTTATGAGATCCTTTTAATATCGGTTGAAAAGGCTTGAATTTAATTCTACTTAATATTTGCTGTAAATTGAGAAATTTTGTAAACCTGAGACCAGTTGTTTTAAGTGGTCAGAAATTATTGAATTCTTAATAAAAGCACAAATCCTGAAAATTCCAGCAATTTAAAAACAAATACCTGAGGCGGCTGAAATAAACTTTATCGAATGAGCTCGAAATAAGAATTTTGAAGTATACTCAACTGTGCCTCGATCGTTTTTACGTAGAACTTGCAGATATATAATTGTACTCTTTTATATTTTCTATTCTAAATTAATATGAGGCGATAGAAACAATGCAAGGTTTTTTTACGTGAAAAGTAGGCAATAGAATAGGTGTTTCACCTGATGTTAAGTGGTTTCCGCCGCCCATGGACATTTACAATGCCTGAGGAGTTGCAGATGCGTTACCAGCCTTTAAAAATTGCGCCCCACATTACCTCACTCACGAGATGAAACGAAAAAGTGTGATACTTCCACATCTCGCCGGTTTTCTATAAGACTTTCATACTTTTCGGAAGATACTGTCCATTATTTCAATAGCAGAACCTTCCACGCGATCCTATCACATTCGACTTATCTCAATCAACCCTGTTTCCTCAATAATCGAGATTGTATTTTTGAATCTATAAAGCTAATATAGAGAGCAATTCTATGTGTAACTAATTTGATATGTTTATTAATAACTTTGTTTAGATGTTTGTGTCCAGAAAGGCAGAATTTGTCACACGGTACAGTAAATAATCAATGACACAAAACAAGTAGGACATAATTTTTCAATCCTCATCAATTATCCTCACGTCTGCAAATATTGACGTGCAGTACAGTCGAGCATCCTGAGCCCCTTTACTGTTCTTAATGAAATTGGAAATCCAAGTACCAGTGTTAACGACGTTTTCAGCGGCCAAGGAATCACTGTCGCCAGTAATGAAAAGTAACTAAAAATTAATACATTTTTAATATTTACCGTCACTAAAAAACTTAATTTAATAAGTACAGCTGAATGATACAAAAGAAATAATAAATAAATCATGAACGAAAATAAATGAATTGAATTATTTTGTCATAATTATTTTGATCGAAATCGGCACGCTGAATTTGCGGGGCAATCAAAACTGTAATTAGATTTTAGAGCCTTTGCGCTCAGGCATTATGCTACATTTTACCTAGCAAATTGTATTGTCGTTTACAAGACGTTATGTTTTAAAAATTATTATTTCAGATAAGTTTTAGAAACCTGGACTCTCTAAGAACCTAATAAATTGAACTTATTTGTAATTGTATTGGCATAGACAAGGGAGTGAATGGTTTATCACAATGTAAAAAGAATAATGGCAGCATTGACGTATCACATTTTTCTATTGTCCCGGAACTTGCAATTCGCACAAAACCCAATTAGACTCCATTAAAAAAAAAAAACAAGGCTACCTTTATACATTCCGCTTCTTATTTTATCCATGATCAATGACCGTATAAAATACAGTTTTTGTTGGATATCAGAATAAACTAGTTAAATTTTACGTGATGAAAATTATTTTAATTTAAATGTTAAATTAATATCGAAACCTATGGACATGAAACAATTGAGGGCCTGCAGGTGCGTTAACAATATTTAGAAAAGTGGGCAGAAACACGAAAGTTACAGCTTACAGATGCGTATTGGCGATGTTGCTTCAGCCATTAATTAACTGTGGTAGGGCCACGCAACAGTCTTCTGTTGCAAGAATGGGCAGATCCTTCCGGGTGAGTACCACAACCTCGCAGAATACTGGGGTGAAGTGGAAGAGCTATGCTTCTTCGTTTCGTCTGGTGAGTGAGGTAGCCGAGACCCACTTTATTATAAAGTGGCAACGCATTTGCAATCCTGCGGGCGTTGGAAATGTCAATGGTCGGCGATAATGACTTAACATCAGGTGAACCGCCAGCTCGTGTGTCACCTTCTCACATAAAAATATAATAATTAGTAAAATATTGTCGAATATTAATAATTAAGTTTCAAATTTAATGAGCGATAAAATAAACGTACAAATTAATTTCGAAAAGTGCACCTAGTTTTTACTATGTGAATTACAAAGATAATTTTAAAAAGTTTGATTAAACTAAAAATTTGTGTTAGTTACGGCATCATTAAATAAATTGAGTGACAGGATGGCTAAAAGTTCATTGTCTCAAGATTCTTAACGCTAAGCGCTTTCATAGGAATAAATAGATTTAGTTTCTCTTTATTTATTTCATCATATATACTCTATACAGATAAATAAAATTGGAGTGTCTATTTGTAGCATTAAAATAACCGCATTTTACTAAATGCATATGGATGTATATAATTATGTACATACATATACCAAAATAATATTTTTTACAATTTTTGTCTACCTGTCTGTCTGTTTTTTCTGGTTAATCTCTGAAACGGCTGGACCTATTTTTACGGAACTGGCCGATAGCTGGTGTAATAGGAGTAACTATGGCTACTTTTATTTTAGACTTTTTATAACGGGCACAGCTAGTGAGAAATAAATAAGTATATTCAGTAATGTTTTGCTCAATTTGACCTGTTATTTTAATTGATTTTCTAACTAACTACCGAGTTATCTTTCTCTTTTTGATTTGATTTTTATCAATTGTAATGTATTAGTCGGGAAGGTCTTATGGTCACACACTGCAGATTTCCTCCATCGCTGGTTGCCTTTGCGGGTAAACCATCACCATTTCTTTAAAAAAAATATTTTTGGTGACGGCTAGTTCTACAAGAAATTTAAATAAAATTGCTTACAGGTTTTTAGAACTGCGAACTAATTTTAAATAGAGAATATTTAAGTGATAACTGCCGCTCACGAGTGGCAACACGATACATTTATTTACTGTTGTTGGTCACCCGCGCCTTATAGGCCTTAAAATTGCTTTTCTACAAGATCAAAGGAGTACGATATCTGCAGTGCTTTGTTGCGGCCGCCTCGGTTGTGGTTTAAAGGACACGTTCGATAAACGTAAAATGTTATGTTGTTTCCAACTAGACTCTTATTTAGAATATTTTTAATAACAGTACAACTGTACTAACAGTATGTATAACTATAAGCTTTACCTATAATTTCATTTATTTGAACAGACATACATAAAAATAATTTATATAAGATATACTAAATTTAAATATATTATCATGTCAGTATATACGTGTGTTTAAATTAAAGGTAAACATTTTCTCATACACGATATTTAAGTGAAAGTTTGTTCTCGTTTGTCATAATGCCCGCTAAAAATTTGTAATAAGTATGTATAATTAAATGTAAAATTTAACTAAAGATTTTGAAATATATTTTTCGACGACGACATATTAAATTATTTTTTTCTAATTAATTTCCTGGAAACGAGCGGTCCAAAATGTTTGTTGCAATTCAAAAGTATTCAGGTTCAGCTGCTGAAACCAAAATTATAACGTGATAAAATCCGTAAACTAGTATCATTTAATATGTATAACATTCGTGCAAACACAAGAAAACAGTAAGCCCTACCACAGTTATCCGCCTATCTAGTAAGCGGTCTTCCTCTGTTGCGTTTCTCTCCTGGGCCTCTACATAGTGTCACTCCTGGGGTCCAACGCTCATCTTTTAATCTCGATAAAATGTGTAAAACAGTTTCATTTCACAATGCACAAAAGAACTACAATATTTCACCGTGTACCAATGTGTTTTTAAAAATTTTCTATCAAAAAAAAAAAGATCAAGTATTACCACGAATTACAATTATTTTTACTTCATTCTTTCGCAATAAATACCCAATCTATTGACTGTTATGCACCCTGCCACCCTACGCTCACCTTTTAGTTTCGATAAAATCTCTAAAACAGTTTCATTTCACAATGTATAAAAGAACTACAATATTTCACCGTGTACCAATGTGTTTTTAAAAAATTTCTATCAAAAAAAAAGATCAAGTATTACCATTAATTACAATAATTTTTACTTCATTCTTTCGCAATAAATACCCAATCTATTGACTGCTATCCGCTCTGCCACTCACTTACACACCACAAATCTTCGACAGTCTTTCTTCAATCAGCCATTACTAATGTCCATGCTCGAATGGCAACAATCATAAACTACCACAGCCCGCCGTTCCACTGTACCCGATGTATTCATGTGTTTCACGATAAGACGATTTATGAACGCCATAAATCGATTCCCTGGACGTGAACAACGTTCATACATTACGTATCGCCCAAACATATTCACCAGTATGAAATAATTACGTATTATTACGTTTTAATTAGAACAATTTTGAAAGCGCTAAGTTCAAGTATTGACTAAATTATGTTCAATTTTATATGTATATCCTTACTAATATTATAAAGGCGAAAGTTTGTATGTATGGATGGATGTTTGTTACTCTTTCACGCAAATACTACCGAATGGATTTTAATCAATCTTAAAATTAAAATATGTAGAAAAAGTGCGAAAAGATTATTTGCAATAATATAGCTTATACATCAGAATAAGACATAGGCTATAATTTATATACATATTTTATGCATATCTGCTTTCTGTCTTAATGTTACGCCTTCAGCCTATTCTACGCAGACGTAGTCGCGGGTAACAGCTGAAGGCGTAACATTATTTATGTACATACATACAAATACAATTGTTCCATTTTATAGCACATTTATTAACTAAAAGTTTTGTAGTATTCGTTTAGCACCTACCATCTACTTTTCAACATGACAAGGGTTGACTGGCAGGGAATGCCATTAGGCATTAAGTCCGCCCATTGTAGCCCTTAGCTTAAGGTGTAACCATGAAGCATAAATAAATAAATACATAGGAAATTTATCCAGAGCTCAATTATATACATTTTGCACCGTTGGACAACCCCTCGCCTCCCACTGAGGGGGTAATTATCAGGAAGGAAGTTAGCGCGTCAGCCCCCTCACCTCATCTAGGGGATATTCAGGGTTGCAGTTGCCTCCCTAAGTTTCCCTCAGGTGTCTGTCCACCATAGCTGCACGGCAGACAGTAATTGGTTGCGTTACCCGATAGGTGAGACAGCTCTCCATACCTCTCAATTCAACTTTCAGAGAGAAAGGTTGCGCGCGTCTGGCAGCGTTCTGTGCTGTGGTCTCCAGCACGAGGAATTCAGGTGTGGCACGGGTGGTAGTAGCTTCCTTAAGTCTTTCTACGGCCCACATCTGAGTGATAACACGGGTGGCACTCAAGCACCCTCGCTATAAGACTATAAGAGATAGCCCAGACAACTCTCGGAGCCATCCAAATTAGGCACTCCTTTAGCATGAGTCGGTGTCATTGGGCTCTGACACTGACCAACCTAGTGTAATAGCATCTTTAAATATAGCTAGCAGCTATAAATAATGTTTTGTTAAAGGCAGTCAGTCTATTCTTGTATAGATTAAGTAGCCGTTTACTTTATGCAAATACAATCAAAATTTTAATGCCACGGCCTTATTAATTTTGTGTGTAAAGTGACACGATAAAAAAACGCATCTACCAAATTTACACACATGCCAATCTACTGGGTCTTGTAATAATATCACGATTTTAAATAAAAAAAATATAAAAGTTTATCAGCAAATATGCTGATATATTTATCGTTCTTAGCGAGAAGGAACGTGTTAAGCTACAGTATAAACCCCAGCTATTATAAACTGACAAAGAACATCGGATTTCCATTTTTCCTGCTTGCAAACATACGGAAGCTTAAAGCGCTTAAAGTGGGAGTAACATCAATATTATTGTTTACCTCTCGGCTCTCTACGATCAACAATATTTTCCATTGTTATCGTATGTTTACGCATACCTTGTAAGTGTAATGCTTAAACGAGGCACAGGGACTAGGGAAGGCTTTAAGTGTAGCTATAATTCTCAATATCTATTCAAAATTTTGTACAGCTTTTGTTTCAAAATTTAACCAAATGGCTTAGGCCTCTTGGTAGCTTTTGAATTGCCAATTGAACATTTGACTTCTAATTGCACTTTGAGCGAGATTTAAATTCATTTCGTTTGTCATACATCCAGAGTTACATTATGAAAACTAGAGGGGATCTGAAAAGAAAGGTTAAAGTTAAGCTGAATGAGTGAATATTATTTATGCATTATTCCTTACAATTTAATGAAATAATTAATACTTTTTAACGTGTAATAAATATTTGGAAATGATGTAAAGTCTATTGGCGAAGGATTAGACCCTATTTTGACAAGTAATTGTTATTCAAAAGTCAAGATATTTGTTTATCAGTTCCCAAGTTATGAAGGGAGCACATGGTTGTAGACGTGCAGATTCGATTGATGTTGGGTGGCCACAGCGTGATGGAGTAGACAATAGGAGGCAGCCAGGAAAACGTTGGCACTAGTTCGCGAGGAGTTTACGTTACCGTTTAATTTAAGATCACAAATACCTGATCTAACGCCCACTATTAATAAAGCAGCACGTTTGACTGACAACAGAAATGAAGCCGCTTAAATTAATACGGTCGCTTCTTGCGTCCGTTTAAGCCCGGGGGTTATGTCGTTCCGCTTCGATTTCCGTTTTTGGAAAAGCACCATCGATATTAATATAATAGAAGAAATCACTTTTCGCTTGTAAAAGAGCTATGTGCTGGCATAAGGGTTTTTATGTATTGCCAAGTGTAGTTTGCTAGCAATTGCTAGCAATATTCTGTGAGCTACTTAAAGCCCATAGGCATAAAGCTATGTAAAGGCTTGCAATGGCTCCTTGTGACTTAACTAACTGTATTTTAATTAAATGATTCCTTATTCGTCATAAAATCGTGTGAGTTTTTCTTTTGCCCTTTACCCACCTAGGTGGCAAGTAATAAAGATTTAAGCACAGCAAGTGAATCATGTTGGTAATAGTATTCTCCCCCTCCTTGGGAACAAACAACAACGCTCGAAAAACATTCTTGTATCTTGTATTAACTGATGTTTTTGCTTTCAGTCCCGAGACTATTAAAGCTTCATCTGGCGCAGAACCGGTGGGCTAGCCAGAACCCACGGGTTTGAATTATTCCGCCGGCAGAAGGCCGTTGGAAAACACGTGCTCATTGAGCCTGTTTAATAAAAGCCGCTCGTAGAGCTACCCCAGGCAACTGAGGAGGCTCATGGGTCGATTCGAAAAACATTACTCTCCTTCAGCAGTCATAAGGTAAAAAGATCATAAACGTGAAATATGCCTATACATTACATCATCATCATCATCATCATCATCATTTCAGCCTGTTTGAGTCCACTGCTGAACATAGGCCTCCCCCATACACTGCCATGAAGTACGATCCTGAGCCACCTGCAACCATCGACTTCCATATTTTCCATACATTACATAGTTTGTAAATATTATCGTTTTCCTTGTTAGAAATCTCTCCGTGCACCTACCTAATTTTCTCTGTACCACCGCAAGGTTGACTGGGAGATAATGCCTTTAGCATTAAGTTCGCCATTGTACTATTTGTGCATAAAGGGTTAATAAATAAAAATATGCTGTTAGGCTTATTTCACGTTTATGATTAAGATACGATAAAATTTTGCTGTCATAAATTGGTTTTTCTTCTAATATGTGAAATAAGCTATTAAGATTAATTTATTGGACTTAATATAATAAGATTATTGCGGCTAATACAGCTAAAGATATTTAAATTGTTGTAAAAGAGGTAGGTAAACCCTAACTTTACTAGAACAATTTGACAAGATGCTCCCATTATATCTAAAAATAATAGTCATATTTCACCTACGCAGCAAATTAAAAACTTGTTTTTTATGCAATCTGTTTCAGTCGTTCAACATTAGTTATACTTAATGCTATATTCTTGTGCGTTGTGAAAACTTTAACTGTTAAGAACTTTCAAAACATCTGGCGGTATAATCGTCTATAAAGTTGTAATTGATTTAGTTTTAACACCAAGTCTGACATATTTGTCAAGCCAGGTGGCTGAGTTGTAGGTGTCTGAGGTCTTGCACGAAAACATACATGATAAAATATTAAAACATACGAAACAGCTTTTCTCATTAAATATAAGACGATAACATATACAGTTATTACAAATGTTAAAATGGATTCATCCAGTTGGTAACAACACGTGCAGTAACTAAGGGCTGTTGCCGGCGTCATAGTGCGGTGGTATTATACGAGTACACGTATGGTACAGTGACATAAGAATTTGGGCCCCATTTGAAATTCTTCCCCTTTCCAGCTTATCAAGAGTTTTATGTGTGTCTTACACAGGCTCGTCTTTCCTTGGTATCTTTATGGGTATCTTTCACCCCAACCGACATAAAAAAATCATAAAAAGTTTTTTAACAAAACAAGAACCGACTTCAAAAAACTCTATTAGGCACTAAACAGTTTGTAATAATACTAAATTTAATATATTATAATCTTGAATTTTATTTTAATTTATTAACACCTATTATTTTTTTTGGTAACGTGAGGGAAATGCCTACGCATATCTTTCAAATGCATTTAAAACGCCGAACGCCGCGGCTGGTGACAAGAGAGCTGGTTCTTTTCTCGCTCAAAGGCTAAGCATAACTATTCAGCGAGGAAATGTAGCTAGCATTCTTGGCACCATGCCGCGTGGATTAGGTTTATTAGATAATATGTAATTTTAGATAGATTAAATATTGTAAATGTTGGTAAAATGAAGTGTATCATTGAATGCGTTACCATATTTACATAAAGTGAGCCCTAATAACCTTACTCATCAGAGGAAACGCAGAAGTTATAATACTTCCACTTCTGCGAGGTCGTCGTACTGTCCCGGATGGACCTGCCCAACTCGTGCAACAGCGAAGACTGATGCGTGGCCCTACCACAGTATACTACTACATTATACAAAATATTATAATTCCATAACATGCGACCAAGCGATGGGCGATGGAAATTTAATTCTCAAATACATTTTGAAGAGAACTTTAATAAATCATGAATGCTAATCCCGTTAAAAACCGCACCGTTCATAAATATTGCGTACTTAAATTGAAACGAAATAAATCTCTGGTGGATTCGAAGGGGCTACGTGTTTTAGATATAAATTATAACGGAATTTTATGCTAGAATTAGTTAATCACTTAGTTTTAAAAATAACATACTATTGTAATAATATGCTACTGGTGTACCTGCTAAGAGACTACTTCATTGCATACGATGCCAATGGGCGTAGAGTCACAACAGAAAATAAAAACCGACCAAGTGCGAGTCGGACTCGCGCACTAAGGGTTCCGTACCATTTTCTATAAAAACGGAATAAAATCGTATCTGTTGTATGGGAGCGTCACTTAAATATTTTTGTATTCTGTTTTAGTATTTGTTGTTACGCGGCAACAGAAATACATCATCTGTGAAAATTTCAACTATCCAACTATCACGGTTCAAGGAAAGACTGTCAGACAGGCAGACTGCGGACTCTTAGTAATAGGGTCCCGGTTTACCCTTTTGGTACGGAACCCCAAAAATCGATACAAGACCATGTTTCTTCTTCGCATTTGATGTGATCTCTGAGAAGAGTGTGTCCAAGAAATTTGATAATTTCCTCATTATTGTTGTCTCTATTAGTGTATCTAGTTTCAGGTATGTAACTATAGCATAGGTCATTTCTATATTTACTTGTTTCATTTACAAGATATGGATATAGGGAAAATAAGGTAAAAAGCCACAAAGACTTGGTAATTATTTTTCAATATTCACTATGATCTTATTTTTCGACACTTCATAAACACAAAAAGGATTTTCACTTTAAAATACATTGTAAATTATTTGAAATAAAACATTGCTTACTGTTTAAGAAACAATTCAGCCCGAAAAATTGAAGCAAAACGAAAGTTTTTGTTAATAAGTCAACCACAAAAAAAGTAACTTTACTGACTTAACTTCTACCACAGACATCCACAGTTTTTAATTAACTTTTAATTACAAAGCCTTCAGGTCATTGCTTTTCATTTGGAATGTAAATATGTTAGAACTTAAAGCCTGCCTTTGAACATGATACTAAAAGCCGCAGAAACCGAGCAAAGTTTTCTTCTTTCTTGGGGTCTTCTACCAGGTCTCTTCTTTTTTATTTAATTTTTATTCTTGCTTCTTTCTTGTTTCCTCTTCGCGAATAGCATTGCAACAAAATAAATAATGTTTATAGCCGTCAGTTTTGGACAGCTGAATGCAAGACGGCAGCAGCAATCAAGCTAT